CATTGCGTTGACCATCTCCACAGTTCATAAGGAAAAGCCCAAGAGTGGGCAAAAATATTAGGTCACGCAGCGACAAGGATATGACAGTAGTAACATTCGTCTTATAAAACTTGTTTTCTAATAATTGATACAAATCGCTCATTTCTCATTCAGGTTGCCCTTTCACATACTTATCGCATAAAATTCAACTAATTTCATATCGATACCACTACTTTTCATCTCTATTATTATTAGCGAAAGAAGACTTATTGACCAAAAGCGTCATTTCTGCTGGATAAAATAAAAAAACAACTGCTAAGGTTTCAAAACTGCACATAAGGCAGTCAGTCAATGACCACGCAGAACTCGGTACGTACGTACATCAGTTCAAGTTGCCATACCACATTAGCTCAGACAGGTGGAATTTTCAGTTCAAATCCCACAGCATTAGAAGTAGCAGCAGTATTAGCGGTTATGGAGAAGATTAGGGTTCCAACATATTATTCAAGAAGTATATCCCAGTGAAATAAATCTAATAAAGAGAAGTGTGATCATGGCGAACTCAGAAGTTTAGAAATTGAGAACAGACTAAGAATGGATGCATTTATCCCATTGCAAGCGATTTCGAGCAATGTCATTCAGGGTCTCCAACACGATCGTGTCGCGGACCCCAACCCGGTAGTCTATACCTAATAACATGCCTCAGTCCAGTTGCCAGGGTCTGCAACCAACGAGCTGGATTCCGTAAGGATCGATCTAAACCGACCAAATTCAAACATTATGGATCATTGTGGAACAATCAATTTTATGGAATTCACCACTCTACATCAACTTCATTGAATACGAGAAAGTATTCGATAGCGTGGACAGGACAACACTATGGAGGCCTCTTCGACACCAAGGAGTTCACGAAAAGATAGTTAACACCATACAGAATTATTATGATGGATTTAACTGCGAAGTCGTCCACGGAGGACAGCTGACAGACTCATTTGATGTGAGGACCGGTGTCAGACAAGGTTGCTTACTCTCACCCTTCCTCTTTGTCCTGGTGATCGACTGCATTATAAAGACGTCAACATCTAGAGGAAAGCACGGTATCCAATGGACAGCTAAGACACAGCACAACACACAACAACAAATGCAAAAGAAGAAGACCAGTGTAGCAGCAGCCTCTGCAGCTACAGCTCTCAACATAGATAAAGGTAAAAGCAAGATTCTACGATACAACACAACACGCGCCAACCAAATCACTCTTGATGGACACGCCTTGGAGGACGTTAACACCTTTACATATCTGAGCAGTATCATCGACAATCAAAGTGAACCCGATGCAGATGTGGGGGCGCGGATCGGGAAAGCAAGGACTGCATTTCTAGGATTGAAAAATATCTGGAACTCCAAACAACTATCAATCAGCACCAAAATAAGTATTTTCAATACAAATGTCAAGATAGTTCTACTGCATGGAAGGAAACTTGTAGAACTACGAAAGCAATCATCTAGAAATACAAGTATTCATTGTCTACACAAAATACTTCGGATTAGTTGGTCAGACACCATCAGCAACAAACTATTGTGGAAGAGAACAAACCAGATTACAACCGAGGAAGAAATAAGGGAAAAGCGGTGGAAGTGGTTAGGACGTACTCTGAGAAAAGCACTCAACTGCGTCACAAGACAAGCCCTCTCATATGAACCTTAAGGCAAAAGGAAAAGAGGAAGTTATGAGAAAAATAAACAAAAATTGGAAAGAACATGGAAACGGAAGCCAAGGACAGAGTAGTTTGGAGGTAGACGGCCTATGCTCCAGTAGGGAAAACAGGATAAAGTAAGTAAGTAAGCTTACTCGATGGTCACAGGATATACGAACAATGATTCGAAGACACCTACAATCGAATACTAGTAACCTACAAACATCCTCATTTCTTTGTGGCCATGTTTCACACCCCTCAAGTCGGACGGAGACAACTAGTGCCTAGTAGACTCGTCTTTCGGTCAGCAGGCGGATATCTCGCCTGCGCCATAAGTGACGCAGGTTGGCAAAAGCCAGTCAAGCCTTCGAGATCTGTGTCGAGATTTGTCAAACAGCGGGCCATCAGGACTGATGAAACTCTAAATATGAGCGAAGCAGCCGATTTGCTCAGTCAGTCAGTCAGTTACAGCGTAAAACTTTGTACCGACGTACATAAGTTCAGGTTGCTATACCAGATTAGTACAGAGACGCAACTGTCAATTCAAATCCCATAGCATTAGAGATAGTAGAAGCACTAGCGGTACTGCTACTATTGTAGTGAAGGAGAACACAGGTGGGGCAACCGCCTGTTACCCCAAAAGGAGCATAGGCTGTCGACCAGCATTCTCCAACCTACTCTGTCCTTGGACTTCCTTTCTAGTTCTGTCCAATTGTTGTTCATTCTTTTCATGTCTGTCTCCATAACCCGGCGTATTATGTTTTCTTTTCCGTCGGCCGTGAGGACTCCAAGGGAGGGCTTGTTTCGTAACGCAGTTGGGTGCTTTCCTCTATGTGTATCCTATCCACTTCCAGCGCTTCTTTCTCCACTCGAATCTGGTTTGTTCTCTACCAAGTTACGGTTTGTCTAAGTAAAATATACGGAAATGGAAAGAAAGATTTATTCCACCGCATACTCGATTATTCGTCCAAACTGGAGTCAAGTCGCGGGCCACTAAATTGGTGAGCCTTACTTCATATTTAACACGGGCCATTGAAAACTGTTAATAAACACTTATATCTCCCGGATGATGGCCTTTGTGGTTCTCCAAGTTCCCACCCAATACAGTAGAACTGTCTTGGCATTCGTATTGAAAATTCTGCTTTTGGTGTTGACTGATAGTTCTTTTGAGTTTCAGAAGAAACGCTGACCTCGTTTTACCAATCCGCGCCTTCACGTCTACATCAGATCCACCTTCCTCATCAATAATGCTACCCAAATATGTAAAGGTTTTCACATCTTCCAAAGTATCTACATCAAGTATTGTTTGGTTGATGAATGTTGTGTTGTATCGGAGAATGTTGCTTGTAACTTTGAGTTTGTGAGCTGTTCTCCAAGCACGATCCCGAAGTTTAATCCATCATGAAAATTTCGTATGATGTTGACTATCTTCTCAGACACGCTGTAGTGTCGAAAAAGCTTCCAAAGTGTTATCCTGACAACGCTATCAGTGCTTTCTCGTAGTCAATGAAGTTGATGTAAAGTGGTTATTTCTATTCAATTAATAGTTTCAATATGATCCGTATTGTTTGAATTTGGTCGGTACATAGTTGATCACTAGGGGTGTGAGGGCGGATGTCACTTACCGACTGCACACACCGTTAAAGCGTGCTTCTTCAGCAACCTGAAAAGGAAATCGGATTAGCGTCGGTCTTAACGATGTAGGAGCGTGGGACAACTGCTTGAGGCCAGTCACGCATGGCCGTTTTATGGGATGTTTTAGAAGCATTAGCTCCGCGGAGGCGGAAATCCATGAGGCGGGGTGAGGTGTTACATATTTATAGTCAAACTTTTCTAACCCTTCCTTCCTTGTGAGAAGGCAGCATTGCTGCAGATGCTGGTTGTTAGAGAGAAACACCTTACGTACAGTCAACAGCACGACATCGCCCTAAGATCTGGAGTGGCTGCTATTATTCTCATCGTTCTCCAAACGACCTGCCTGGCATGGTTGAACCTTCAGAAACATATGTTCCAGCCAATAGAGCTCGATTGGGTCATCGCGATAGGCAAGCCCGATCACTACTTCATGCCAGTAGCTACGGTCGGGATTTTTATCCTACTTGTATGGCAACGATTCGAATCCCTGTCCGTGAAATGTTTGTATTAATTTTATGATTCAAGATATATCTACTTATTGTTATAACTTATAGATAGAAGCTACGGTTCAGGATAGGGAAGAACAGAGGAAACATTATAGAAGCCCTTGCATGCTTACCGTGCAACAACGAATCCGACAACGATTGGTGAGGTTTCTGCGGCGAAAGCTGTGTTTGGAAGAAAAAGTGAAAATACCACTAGAAAAATTATATCAACATGCTACGACGACTATTGAGCGAAGCATAGAAATGGAAGTACAGTACAAGAGACATGGAGCAAAATCTAGAATATTCGTACCATGTTAAATGGATACAGTACTTAACTTTCATCATCCGAGGACGCAGCAAGGAAGTGGAATTATAATACGCAGAAGACGGAATGTCGTCTATGAAGTCAAGGTTAGTAATATGAAATGGATAAGGCTCGTCGATCGCATACAACCTTCTAGATGCAAAGAGAGGAAGGAAACCAATAAGAAAATCCATATGCACCCGAATATGATGGTTGATTGACAAACAAGAGTACCGGATAAAGAATTAAGCAACTCTTAAGAAAATCACAAAGGATTTGGATAAAACCGATCAGGATCAGCATGAAACTATGTGACAAGTCATACCCATAATGCTCAAAAATAAGTGTTATGAGGGATGATTTACGTATGAGGTAACAAACTTTAGAAGCTATATTTTAACGGTCTTATTTGCACATAATGATTACATATTTATCCAGTAACTAGGCCTACTCTTGTATAGTTGTTAATTTCCATTTATTGGCGTGATGTGATCTGATTGTGTGTATACATAAAGGCATGCCTGAAATATAATAATGAAATATTGGACTGGTGGTAATTGGTCTTTATTTTTCCTTTTCAATTGGGACAAGTTAGTATAGGGCCGTCGTTCCGTCCTTGTCGCATATTGGTTAACAGAAGGTTATCTGCGGATTGGTTCATGAAAGACTTAATAATTAGATCGGATAAACTAAGCGTTCGCAAAGGGGTTTTACGTTCAATTCCCGCTCGCCGGGTCCTGGAAGCGCACTAATGATGAATCCATACATAGACGAAACGGTATTCAGTGCTTCCAGGTTTCCAACGTGGTCTGAAATTGATCAGTTCATGGTTTCAACTAAATTAAATAAGTTCATAAGACAAACACAGACATGGTGAATAACAATAACGACTAAACTTACATGAAAGCTTGGATCTTCACGTTGCATACAATTAAGAGCATGTTCAAGTGCACTTATTTCAGATCGACTACCAGGTTCAATCGCAGCGTACACAACAGGTTCGGATACTTGAAATAAGGAAGGTGATTCTGATTCAGTGTCAGTCATTCCTACACTAGTATTCAGATCAATACTTTTAGACCTTTGTGTTTGTCTATTTTTATTTGAATTCATGACAGGACCTAAAATATCACCTGTGTAAGTTGATTGAAGTCCACTTAAAGCAACAATGCTACCAGGCCCAGCACTGTTAACTACTTCTAATGAGTCTCCATTTAGTTGAAAGACATTATGGATCTATAATGTGAAGAAATACATATGTAACAGTTTCGTCACAAAGTATTAAAATATACATAAATACCAATCGTTCCCTCAAAGAATAACTAATCACAAAACTCGGTAAGATTAAAACGAAATCAATACTTAATTAGGCGTAACATTTTGCACTTTTTCTACAGATAAATTCTAAACCAGAAACTTGGAAATTGCAAATTTACCAAAATTATCCGGTTTTTGATCTTATTTACCTTGTATATAAATGTAAGTTCAGAATATATATTTGCCTCCCGTAATCCAACTTACTACACAGAAAATTTCTGACTCGTCTAAATCGAACAGGTAAAATAGTATTCAGTAAACTCTTTCTTCAACGCCAACTGATTTTTATGTTTCTTTAATTAAAATTAAATAGACCCCTGCTCCGAATAATAATTGGAAATGGAGTTCAATGGATTTTAAACCAAATGACGTAACAATGTTGAAGCATGTCAAAAATTGAGTAATCAGAGGATATCAATGCTAATCTGATTTACTTCGATCAAAATATAGGGTGTAGGATCGGGTAATCCGATACTTTGATGTGACACAAACGCTGTAGCCAAACCAAGGATACTAAAGTGCAGGTAACACCCAACTATTGTTGATACGTATTAGGTTAATGGCACATAATCGGTAAATTTAACTTATTCGATGCTTAGACCTATACTATCAAACGAATTAAACACGAAGTTAATAAACAGATTTGACAAATTCCGAAATATTTCCGGTGTACAAACTTATTATATGCAAATATACTCTTTACACTAAGTGTATCTATAACTGATAAACAGAATAAGTTTCTTAATATTAATGAAAGTATCAGACAGGAACTGAAAACTAATATTAGTTACAATGATCTACTACGCTTTTGTGCAAAAATGTGTTATAGGTATAGAACGACGTGTAAATAGTTGGTGCATAACCAATATTTGTTGGAGAGAAACAACAAACTTCCCTTAAAGTTATCTTACGAAATAAGAAAATTTGGATTGTCTAAACAAAAACGGCTGCAAGTATGTAATGAATAAATAACAAAAGTATTATCACAGAATAATTAGCAACTTATGACTAGACTTATAAATTAAAGATATCTTAAGGAATCCGATTCATTGAAATTGCATTTACCGCGTTGACTTACTTTTTCTGGCAGATGAGTATCTTTATATCGGGACCAATTAGTAATTTGAGAACCAGGAGTAATTACACCGGAATATACGCGTACCAACGTAAGTGGCCCACGATTTGGATCAAAACATATCCTAAATACAAGCATGATTGAAAATTTCGATGAAAGAATACTGTGATGAGTATCTAGATCCACTGAGGCTTTCAAAATATCACTTGAACTAGGTGAGGTAGATTTCAACGACTTATAAACATTTAAAATTGAGGCTGGAATATTAGAATGACTAGGATCTGGAAGGTGATCAACAATGAAATCCAATAAAGGTTGGATTCCGATATTGTTTCGACTACTACCAATCAACACAGGTATGATTTGGAATGAAAGAAGTGCCTACAAAAGAAGCAAATAACAGCGATTGAAGTTGAAGTTGATGTAAAGTGGCGAAGTGATGGAGTGGTGACCTTTTTCAACCTTTCCTTCCTTGTGAAAAGGCAGCATCGCTGCAGATGCTAGTTTTCCGAAGGAAACTCCTTAACGCTGTCACACTCCTCTGCAGTCAGCAATGCGCCATTGCTCTCAGATCTGGAGTAGCTGCTTTTATTCTCATCGTACTCCAATCGACCTGCCTGGCATGGTAGAATCATCAGGAACATATGTTCCAACCAATATTGCTCGGTTGGTCATCACGACGGGCAAGCCCGATCACTACTTCATGCTAGTAGCCACGGTCGCGATTTGCGACTTTCTGATCCTTATAATGCCAAGGCTAATTCTTTTATCTGCAATTTTCATTTTAAAGGACAACTTCTTAGGAGTGACGAGTCCAAAGTAGGTCAGATGCTCATGTATTGGAGTGGTGATAGCTTCGTGCTCCTGTTTTAAATGAAACGCGACTTAATGTTCTGAGGCGAGTTTGGAAAGTGTTTGCTTTATGCGTACAATGTAACATACCTCAAAGAAGCAAACAAATTTATACATAAACATCGATATGGCCCAAAGCGGAAGCTTATCCTCAAATACTAGACCGGCTAGAGAAGACAATAAAAATTATGGTTGGACAGGTTTTGAAATCCCTTTGTTTAAGAATTCGGTAGCTGTATCTCCTTAAATTTGATTTTGATTCGTATGTATAAACAGTAATCGGCTATTATTATCCTCTATCAATTTTCATGATTATTATTCAAATGTCTACACCCGTCAACAGATGTTTCCACCTCACACATGCAAGTACAAGTATCAGCAACTGTTTATTACTTTATTTATGCAAGAGCGCGATTACATGACAATGAGCGAAGTGATTGAGGATACTAAGAATAAACAAGCCCAATCTTTGTACAGCAAGATCAATCGAATTTTGCTTGATAAAATGACTGTAGTTGTGACTAAAGTAGAGGAAAATCAGTTGACCGAAATTCTAGTACGAATATGTGATACCCCATTTAACCTACTGACAGGTAAAAATTACACAATATCTGCAGTAAATACTTGACAGCATTCCGTACAATAAAACCAACCTTTTTTAAACTTTTCTGAACAATATCTGACGGAATTAATAAGTCCGGACGATCAAGTTTTAAGAATTCATCCGCAAATTCGTCATCGGTTTCAGCCAGTGTACTTAGTAATCGCATACGAGCACTTAGTGCTTCTTGAATTCCATCAGGGTTCAGTGTGCATCCAATGGAAGATTTTGATTTAGGTAGCTGAGAGGACTGTGATACAGTAGTTGTATTGATACCCTCCAATAAATCGGATGATGAATAAGCATCATCAGGATTGTTGCATGAAACCCAATTCTAGTAGAGAAATAGAAATTACTAGATAATCGTTTACACGAATGGTAAAAAGAATGTAACTTTTCTGAATGCAACCATAACAAGATCAGTGTACTTATCAGCAAAGCTAATATTAATTATATATATATATATATATATATATATATATATATATATATATATATATATATAACTGATTGTAGTACACCGACGAACATATCAACGATTGTCTGGATGAGATAGTTACGACGATTAAGAACACGTCGAAATTGGCCACCACAATTGTCCGAATAGAAGCATTGTTCAGTAGTTTATATACTGGTCAAATATTCATGCCGAAAATGAAAATTAATTATTAGAATTCTCAAAATATCAACATGTTGTAAACCCTCGGAACACTGAACTCTGCTACTGAGAAGTAACAATACTTAGAAAGTAAAGCATACCTCTCCGGTTGTTGGATAAAATGATGTCAAATCTATTTTATTGAGCATAAACGAAATCACACCAACCAGAACCAAATTAGATATACTATGTCAAAGTATAAGCTTTATCCGTTTTATAGAAGTTCAGCTCATCGATAACCGTTCCCGATTTCAATCCATACAATGCCATCACTGCGGCGTTTTCCAAACGACACATAATATAAAACGATATTTTAGGATTCCACGCAATTGTATTCAGGGTGCGAACATTGCGTTGACCATCTCCACAGTTCATAAGGAAAAGCCCAAGAGTGGGCAAAAATATTAGGTCACGCAGCGACAAGGATATGACAGTAGTAACATTCGTCTTATAAAACTTGTTTTATAATAATTGATACAAATCGCTCATTTCTCATTCAGGTTGCCCTTTCACATACTTATCGCATAAAATTCAACTAATTTCATATCGATACCAATACTTTTCATCTCTATTATTATTAGCGAAAGAAGGCTTATTGACCAAAAGCGTCATTTCTGCTGGATAAAATAAAAAAACAACTGCTAAGGTTTCAAAACTGCACATAAGGCAGTCAGTCAATGACCACGCAGAACTCGGTACGTACGTACATCACTTCAAGTTGCCATACCACATTAGCTCAGACAGGTGGAATTTTCAGTTCAAATCCCACAGCATTAGAAGTAGCAGCAGTATTAGCGGTTATGGAGAAGATTAGGGTTCCAACATATTATTCAAGAAGTATATCCCAGTGAAATAAATCTAATAAAGAGAAGTGTGATCATGACGAACTCAGAAGTTTAGAAATTGAGAACAGACTAAGAATGGATGCATTTATCCCATTGCAAGCGATTTCGAGCAATGTCATTCAGGGTCTCCAACACGATCGTGTCGCGGACCCCAACTTGGTAGTCTGTACCTAATAACATGCCTCAGTCCAGAAGGATAGCTGATAGACTTATTTCGCGACCGAAGCTGCCACCCTTATGTGGTGGTCGGACTTGCATCTCATAATGACCGAACAAAGCTATATTGGCTGGAACATATGTACCTGAAGGTTCAACCCTGCCAGCCAGGTCGATTGGAGAACAATGAGACAAAAAGCAGCTACCCAAGATCTGAGGGCGAAGTCGTACTGCTGACTGCGGAGGGGTGTGACAGCAGTAAGGTGCTTCCCTCGGAAAACCAGCGTCTGCAGCGATGCTGCCATCTCACAAGGAAGAAAGGGTTGGAGAAGGTTGACCCTAAAAATGTCACACCTCACCCTACCTCACGGAATTCCGTCTCCGGAGGTACGGGTGCCCACTAAGGGATTTTAAGAGCGGAGCTAACATTCAAAAATCCGGCATCAAGCAGTTGTCCTTCGGTCTTTGCGGTCACGCTCACAGGTCTCTAAGACCAACACTAACCTATCTTCCTTTTCAGGTCCCTCAAGAAACAACCTTCCACGGTGGGGGCAGCCGGGAAGTGAAAACCATCCTCGTACCCGTAGCAGCACACGAGACCGAATCGGTCATAATCAGATCCTTCCTACACCCCATAATATCTCTCCTATCTCCGCGACTAACTCTTCTCACATATCTTGATCACATTGCACAGCTAACGCAAACGATGAGAGTTCACGAAAAGTTATTCCTCGCCTCCTGAAACCCAGCTCTAGACTATATTTTGGAGCTTTCAATTTACGGACATTGTATCAAATAGGGCAACAGGCGTCCTTATATAGGACATTAGAATCTCGCTCAGTTGATTTAGGCTGCATCTCGGAAACGCGTATACAGGATCCTAGTAAAGTCATTAATTTGATTTCGCCTTGTCAAAACAAAGAAGCAGCTCGATTCACTCTTCATGTATCCAGTAGCCCTGATACTGCTTCCAGGGGTCTCGCTGGTGTAGGTATAGCATTGAGTCGTAGGACAGAACTGGCGCTCCTAGAATGGGTCCCAATAGATAGTCGCTTGTACGCTGCAGACTGAACGGGACAGTAAGGACTCGGAAAGATAGGGACACTTGCCGTTGTCTCTTCGTCGTATTTGACTACGCTCCCACTGACTGCAGTTCAGACAAGGTGAAAGATGAGTTCTACAGAAAGCTTTTGGACCTCCTCCAAAAGGTTAGGCGCTCTGATGTAGTATTAATGGCTGGTGACTTCAATGCTCAAGTATTGAGGCTAAGTGAGTAGGGAAGAAACCTAGGTGGATGTTATGGAGTGCTCAGATAACCGCCTATTTCTAGCATACACTAACTTTGGGCATAAGGAAAACTGTTGACTTGACGACCCCCTAGGTCGTTTCAACGTTGGACCCAACTATATCACATCGCCATCAGCCAACGATGGAGGGGTTCGATAGAGGACTGTCGCTCGTTTTGGGGCACATGTTTAGGTTCAGATCATGCCCTAGTGCGAGCACGTATTAGTTAGCGCCTTACTGGAAGCCAGAAAAATATCGCAAGAAACAACCATCGAGGTTTATGTCTACCACCATATGTGTACACAATACTGACTGCTATTAATCTATGCAATTACTGTGTTGGATTGTTTCAGCAACAAGAATGTATGGAGATTACAGAAATGCTAGTCACGTCTGTCAAACATTTGAACTTTAGCATTTGTATTCTAGACCACTACTCTGTAGTTCTTGGCAATAGGACTGATTTCAATTCTTTGAACAAGATAGTTGTTTTGAACTTTCTTCCAAGGATGAGTTGCTGGGACGTTTATTGACGTTTTTTAAAGTTTTTACAAAGATATCAGGGATAAGATTGGTCTATATGTATATATATATATATATATATATATATATATATATATATATATATATATACTGTTGAAAACCAGCAGTGGAGCTCTACAGCATCTCGTAGTCTCTCAACTAATCTGCACTATTTTTGTACAGTGACGTTTTCGTTCTCTTCCAAAGGAACTGTGAAGTATAGCTGATGTGGTTGTTACCGGCAGAATAGTTTCTCGGTTGTTTTCACGTATTAGCCATGTTATGTTATGATATGCAGTTAGCGACCACCTAAATGTTTTACGTTTAATTCCAAACACGAGGACTGTCGATCGTTCTGGGGCGCATGTTTAGATTCAGATCATTCCCTAGTGCGAGCGCGTATTTGTTTGCGACTTACTGTACGTAGGGAAAGACACCGTAAGGAAGCCTCATAGGGCTTTACCTAATGATAATCAAGCTAAGAAAATATTTCAGGAGCAACTAGAAAAACAGTTAGGCGACCATGCAAGTGATTCCCATCCGGAGACAGGTTGGAACGGTATCGAAAAGGCTGTGGAAACAGCATTGATATCTTCTAGTAAGGAAAACCATATGGCCAGGATGAAACCGTGGATTTCAGTCGAATCCACCGAACTGATGGATGCTCGAAAACTCATCCCACCTGACTCTGAGCATGACGAAGAGCCAAGTCAGCTTAGGCGCAGACTGATAAAAAGCCTACAAAACGACAGCGAATGGTGGTGGGTGGCGAAAGCAAAAGCGATGGAAAAGGCAGCAACGATATGCGACAGTAGACAACTTTTCCGACTTATCAAGGAAACTGGTATTGGGAATCCTAGTGTAAGTGAGACTATCTTGGAAAAGGATGGGACTATTATCCATTCTCAATCCAGGAGACTGCACCGATGGGCTGAACACTATAGGGATCAGTTCAACTCGCCATCAGCCACACTTCGCTTACCCACGATCTCTAGTCGACATAAGGCCTCCGAACATTTATGAAGTTGAAAAGGCTATGGGAAATCTAAAGCGAGGGCGAGCTGCAAGTCCTGATAGGCTTACCACTGAAATTTCTAGGGACAGTGGACCAACTTTAGTAGCTAAATTGCCTGAAATCTTAGGTAGAATCTGGGAATCGGACACAATCCCATCCGACTGGTCTCAATCCCTAATTGTCCCAATCTATAAGAAAGGACAAAAGTCTTCTTGTGACAATCACAGGGGAATAAGTCTAACTAATATAGTTTCTAAATTGTCAGCCTCAATTATACTTAGACGCCTAACTAGTGCTCATGAAAAGCAGACTCGAGAAAACCAGTCTGGTTTCAGACCTGGACGTGGCTGTATAGACCACATTTTCACACTAAGACAGGTCCTGGAACACACACTTAGGCGTCCGATAAAAGTTGAGTTCCTGGACCTAAAGGCGGCATTCGACTCAGTGGATCGTGAGGTTCTGTGGCAGTGTCTGTCATTAAAAGGTGTACCGGTGAAAAACATTACCTTACGAAAGCTCTCTACTCGAACACTACTGGTCGAATTAGAGCTTATGGCGAAGTGTCGTCAGGACTTAACACTACTAGTGGTGTCACTCAGGGTTGTCCACTGTCTCTATTATTATTTAACTTTATCATTGATGACTATTTCATTATCTCACTTTTTAAGATCTCAACGTCTACCAGGCTATTGATATATTTTTGAAAGAGCTGCAACGATGTAGAGTTTTCTGACATCACGCAGCAACTATGGAGGCATGTTTGGGATGCGATTCTCCACGCCCGAATTCAAAATGTTGTTCCGAAACTGGCTTGCATCGCCCCCGGACATAGTAATAGGTAGTGACTTAGTTGAACGGTTAACCTTTTTTGAGAGTCTTATCGGTCCTGATGGCCCGGTGTTTGACAAGCCTAACCAGATGGTATCCTATCCGGCCTGCTGAGAAATGGGAGCAATGATCTCTGTGTTATTCACCTTAAACTATTTGTTATGTCCCTTTCTACAGTGTTTACCTAATAATTGGAAGATTACACATATCATCCCCACAATTAAATTTGTGCCTACAGTGAATGTTGAAAACTACCGACCAATAAACATTACCTCAGTAGTATCTAGGGTGATGGAGAAAGTAGTAAAGTAAGCGTTAATAAAACACCTACTTAATAAAAATCTGATATTGACCTTACAGCATGGGTTTTTAGTGGTGATCGAGTCGAGATTGACTATGATCACTACTTAATACTCATTACTATACCATCACATTGATCAGAAGTAAACGCAGGGTAAAGAATATATTTTAGAGAGAAAGTTGGTGATACAACAAGTAACAAGTTATAAATGATAAATAAATAAATCCAGGTTAAAGAATATAATTGCTGGTGATATCGTGGTGTTCAAAAGAACACCGAAATGACAACAAGAAAGTGGGCAATATAAAGAGCAGCATGTAGCGAAAAATGGCAGCAACACAAAACAGAAAGTTGGTTGGGTCATCATGATAGGCAAGCCTGAACATCACAGCCAATTTCTTAAGTACTACTTACACCATCATAAAAGTAACATAAATTCACTTTACCGCGTGACAATTTTTCGGTATTTGTTCCAGTTATTATAATCATTAATTATATGAGCTAGAGTATGTACATAGGTTGTAAATACTAATTATCATTGCTTTTAGGTTGTAAACAGTTGAAAAGAAACCACAAAATGAATCCATTTCATTCTGCTTGTTGTTATTCTTGCTTTCGTCAAATTTATCAATGGGAAAGAATGCATGAAATAAATTTCATTCCCTAACATCCCCATAAATTTAACTGGAAAACAAGAGTTACTATTTGATCTAAACCGTAAAGTTAATGAAAGATTTTACACATGTAAAACTGCGAAATAATACATGAATTTTTTGAACTTCACTAAGTTTTGTTACTCCTATTCATAGTACACACAGAGTGATCAGTTAAAATGTTAATGAAAAACAATTAGGAAAGATTCGGTAAGCTATTGTGAAATTATACATAGTGTCGTTGGTAGTAATCCTTAGAATCAAAGCAACAGATAAAGACATGTTGCACCTGCTTTTTCGATTTTATAAGTTATCATTGTTTGAACTGGGAAAATCAAATACTATAATGTTTTAAGTATGGTTTAACGATCCAGACACAAAAACCCTCACTTATTAACTCATATATTTAAATCGAGTCTTATTGCCAAGGTTGAATAACTAGGTATTAGAGCCCATCAAAAATAGTAAGAATCTTTTAATTTAAACTTGGATCAATAGTCCATAGAAAAAAAAACATACTTTTCCTAAAAGCTTCTTACCGCTCCGTAAAATCGAATGTGCATCTTGGCATCGTACTATTTACCACATACAGACTCTTAAGACTGATATTTTCATTAGTTGCAAACAGAAATTATTGCTTTTGATTGAAATGCTGACTAGAGAGGTATGATGATTGATTTGTGACTAGAACATATAGGGTCACACTTCGAACAACAGACTGTATTCAGTTTTAGCGGAGAAACCTATATATGACTTGGAATCTATGTTAAAAGTTTGATCATAATTATGACGGACAAAGATATAAGTACTGCATAATTACGCTCACATATACGAGCAGGAAACTATGACAGTGTTATTTAAAGAAGTAAGAATTCAAATTCCACAGCTAATCCTTGTTGCTGCAAAAAGGAAAGGGATGAGATTTATAAAAAAAACAGTAAAAAATCTAACGAGCAATATTATATTGGAATGATATGGACTTTCGTTTGAGATACAGAATTCTTAATTTTCAATGCTTTCATACATGGTAGATGCTTATCAGTTTTAAACACTGAAATTCTATAGACTCAAAAGTTTATGTAAAACACTTGTTCATAACTTACTTTCAATTGCATTGTAGTTAAATCTACAAGTCCAACAAATTTACTTGTACCGTTTTCTTTAAAATCGCGTTTATTAGGAATCGAACTAGACGTATTCGAAGAACTGATTAATGGCGATGAAAAGTTAGCTGCATCAAGACTATGAGAAAATACTGGCCAATGAATAAGCGTATAATGGGCTTTTGTAGGTAACTGATCGGATAAGCTGCGTAAGCATAGATCGATATTAGCCATTGGGCGGTCCATTTTATTGATATAGATTAGACATGGAAGACAGTAACGATGCGCCTGGCGACTTGAAAAAATGATACAAAAAGTGATGAATAATAGATACAAGTATGATGTTGTAGGTTGCATCAAAACGTTATCACAACACAAAACTCTTACAACTAAGCTCAAAATAAAATATCCACTTGTAACAGAATAGACATTTACAAGTAGTACAGATCTCCGTTAATTCGGTTTAAACAGATATTTTGCGGCATTACTTTCAGATTAACCGAACCTAGGTTATTTATCAAATATATTCGCCTGATAATCCTAACAAATGTGAAACAATAGCTAATTTTAATATTTGGTAGCTATATTTCCCAGTGGTAAAGCGGTATCATACATCGAATTTATCATGAAAACGCTTTCTAACGGTAGCTCATTAAAACATATGTTAAAGGAAAATCTTAAATGAATAAAACAATAAATTCATCAGTTGCTGGGAGATTGGCAATTAATGTTTTCTTACAAAATGAAATGAATACTCACCACACAGTATGTGTCTGAGGTTGAACACCTTTAACCGCATCCAATATAATAATAGCACTATCTAAAACCGTTAAACTTCGTTCAACTTCCACTGCGAAATCCACATGTCCTGGAGTATCCAATAAGTGAATTGTATGACCACGCCAAGATAGAGAAGCTGATGCAGTAACAATGCTTATACCACGTTCACGTTCTTCTGGTAAATAATCAGTCACCGTATCTCCGTGATCTACTTCCCCTAGATAGTGTATGCGGCCTAAATTATTGAAATTAATCAGCGAAAATATAGTAAGTAGGCTTTAAATAAGTACGAAGTGAATACAGTATAAATAATGAACAATAATCATGAAGTATATTGGCAGTACATTATAATTCTTAGTTTCAAACCACGCTTAAAATATGTGGGCTAATGATGTTACACGGTTGCCCAAACCAAAGTAATGTATGAACCTGTTTCTTGAGTTAGTGTTAATTTGTGATACAAAATTCGTCTTTAGCGAATTACTTCATATAGTACAAGCCAATACAAATAATCTATTTATATGGTATACTCACACTCATTAGTTTTTTTTTATTGGTAAACAAATAATTATTGCATTCACACTGTCATATTCATAAACTCGACAACGTATATATTTGGCAGTTATTATAAAAAGAGAGAAAATAAAGAACAATTTCATACTTGATAGTTTGCTGAATAATGCAATGTTTCAATAACTTTAACGTAATTTAATACAATAAAGATTGACAGAACGAGGAGTTATGACATCAATAAGGATAATACGGTTGTGAGATGAAATACATTGCATTATGTAACAACAAAAGTCACATTAATCATGGTAATGGGTGCAAGTAAAGTCAAATCCATTATGTTAAACTACGTGCTTCTGATTAACAGCAAAAGAGCAAAACACAACGTAATGACCACTTATTTTAATTTTGGTTCAGGTCTGAGAAAGGTTTTAGCAATCGAGTTGCATGCACATTATATATATAGTAGTGATAAAAACAATATATGTAAAATTGATATACATATATTTAGTTCCACGGCTTTATCATGAAATAATTATCTTTCAACTTTAGAGAGATGGTCCGAAAGTCATCAAACAGCCCTGAACAAGGAATCTGCAGAAATATCATCAAAAATGATGAGAAACTGAATTTTTCCCATTATTAACCAAAAGCATGAAAACGATTGAATTAATTGATATGTTACATAGACATATTTTATGCACGAACCATAGGTTATATATATATATATATATATATATATATATATATATATATATATATATATATATATCACGTTATTCAGATTTATTTTTTAGGTACACAGAGGTTGAAAAACTCAGTTACTATGTGACGACTAGCTGTACAGCAGAACTAGATCGACAAGAATTGAACATATAGCCACTTGGTGAAGACACTGACAAAATGCAGAGTCTTCTGACTACCCTAAGCAACAATGTAAGCATGTTCGGTATGCGGTTTTCCCCCTCGAAATGCAAATGCTTCAAGATTGGGTTTCATCGGCACCTGAACTAGTGATAGGGAGTGAAGTAGTCGAGCGAGTAGACCGCTTCACTTATCTTGGGAGTCTCATCAATGCTGATGGCCTGGTGACTGACGAAATCTCAGCACGGATACAGAAGGTTCAACTGGCTTTTGCCAACCTTCGACATTTATGGCACAGGCGAGATATCCGTTTGTGGACTAAAGGACGAGTGTACTGTCCAGTAGTTCACTCCGTCTTACTTTATGGCTGTGAAACATGGCCAATGAGAGTAGAAGATATTCGTAGGTTACTGGTTTTCGATCATAGGTGTCTTCGAAGCATTGCTCGTATATCGTGGGACACCCGAGTGAGCAACACTGTTATTAGGAATCGGGTGCTAGGTAAGAATGGCAGATCAATAGATGAAGTAATGAAACTTCATCAGTTGAGGTGGTTGGGACATGTGTTGCGTATGCCTAACCACCGACTGCCTCGTCGAACTTTGTTTTGTAGTGTAGGAATAGGTTGGAAGAAAGCTAGGGGCGGCCAAACCAAAACATGCCAGAAATCCATGAAGTCATTGACTAGTGGACTCAGCCATGTCGGTAATTGTCAACTACCTGGTTGGGGTCCGCGAGATGATAATAATCGATGGTTAGAGACCTTGAATGACATGGCTCAAAATCGTTCTCAATGGCGCCGGTGCATTTATTCTTTGTGTTCTCTCAAATCCTAATCTTCTGGATTCGTCAACCCCTCTAGTTTCGACTCTCTAAACTTTTCTCACTGAATTATACTTCTTGAATAGTATCTTCTAATCCTAACCTCTCCGATTACTTCTAATACCTTTACTACCTGTTCTACTATTGGATTTGAATTGACAATTACATCTCTGTGTTGATGTGGTATGGCGACATGAACTGATGTACTTACGTACGAAGTTCTACGTTGCATCTGACTGACTGACTGACTGAACATATACCCACAGTTTAGGAAGTTATTTTACCAAATTATAAAATAATATGGAGTCCATTCTGTAGAAAAGCAAAGGATCACTAACTGCACATGTCGTATCTGTATCCAAAAAAGTTTTAGTTCAAAACGTCTCATAATAAACATTACTTTGGCATAATACAACTCAACTCAGTGAACTACCTACATTTTAACAACTCAACTGATCAACAGCTGACATACATTTACTGAACAAAAGCATTAACATGCCAAAATGTTTTGTTATTCATAGTCAGATAAAAATATTTAGTAACATAGCTAATCGTATTTTTTACAGTCAGATATGTGGAAGTGTTCTATGTGAGAACACCTTTATCATTAATTGGTTGAGTTTGTGACTAACTTCACACAAGTGTCACAATTTTGCAAGAATATATCAATGAAACGCAAAATACAGAAATCAAATGTTATATCAAGCAAAACACTTACGAGCATAATACAGAATGCGTTCTGTAGTAGTCGTTTTACCAGCGTCAATATGAGCGATTAAACCAACATTCCGTATTGTTGCGATGGATGGACTATTAAGTGAATTTTCCGCTTTAGGATTACTGATCGTATGTTGTGTCTGGGTATGTGCAAAGCAAAAGCTCTCACGGTTATATTTACGTTTCAACAAATCCAACCAATTAGAAGGTAAAACGCGTATATTTCTGTAAATTAACATTTTTGAGTGTTAGTAAACTACAGAAATAATGCTCCGCATTTATTGTACCTGACGACAAAAAACATGGATAGAAGAATTCAACATTCGAACTAGATATTCAAGAATAAATTGGGATTTCAAAACATTGTATAGTATGTCATTTTGTGAATACTACAGTTCCATACATTTCACTTTTATTGATTTGAATAGGAATTTCATGAAGCAATCTGGTGATAATTAACGATCAGTTTCATTCAATTAACACCCAATTACTATGGGTTTGATTTCACAACGCACGATTTCACATAATCACACTAAATCCATTTTCTAAAAGATTATTAATGGAAACTGTTGCGTACTTATATATCTATATACGAAGAAATAACTAGTATATCCCTGTGCATACAATAATTAAACGCGACTAATCTAACTGCTCGATACACTGTATTTAGTTTATTCTGAAATAAAATTTAGTTAGAAAATAATATTGAGATATTTAGTGGAAAACTGTATAGTTTTTCTTTAAAAAGATTGAGCGAACAAGTTTTTATGAAAACTAAAGTGCCATTATCGATAAACTAACAGGAAACCTAAAATAGAGACAAGACGCTAAGACCAACAAGAATGTTCTTTTACATCAAAATAATCTGACAGTTTAATAGTCCGAGCGAACTAGCGTAATGAATAAACATGAAATAGATTTCCTAGTGCAAACACTGAAACAAACGTTCGTGGAAGTAAATTTAAAGAACATATATACTAAAAGACATGTTTATAAAATAAAATGTCTATTATATCAAATGGATATTTACAAGCATATGATTCCCGTAGAAAATCATGAAATTTTGGAGGAAATAGGCTAATACGATCTATAATTAGCATACGCACGATTTTCTTCACATTGCTTATGCAGTTCAACTTTGTATTTAACAGCTTTCCCTTGATTTTGTGAAGCTGATATGAATTCATTTGCCAGAGATACCCATATGCGTTGATCACGTGGTTTTTCCCTAGCAGCGTTCAAAATGAATTTGACTGCAGTATGTATGGCAACTGAATCGGATACTGGAGGAGCGGGAACCTGTAGAGACAAAACATAACAAGTGGGTCTATAGCACAAACGCATATAATGGTAACTAGGATTAATGATGAGTAAAAATGGGTTCAGACACTAAAATGATAAATTTCGATGGCCGTTGAACAACAAATAGGTTTTCAAAGACGGCAGATAAAAGGAAGTAACACACACAAACACAGGTCAGTCAATATAGATGTCTAATCTAGTAATCCTGGAATAAAAAGGATAGCGACAAGGTGTTCTGAATCAATAGTATGATTGTGCGGTTCAGTCAATCAAATCAAATGTGATTGTGTAGTATTCTATTTGAAGGACTTTTTCTTTTCACCTTGTACGTTTGAACAAAATGTTAACTATTACATCGGTGTTCTTGATTCCGAATTAGTAGGTTACTTTCTAGATTTAGATGTACTTTACCATGACAAAAAGTAGGCTTCTGACCATCTAAAGTAACAACAGAATGAGATCTCCGCCCAATAAATGCAAAATGAGAAGTGAATTATTTGAGGGTGTCGACTGCATCACTTATCTTGGCAGTCTCATCAGACCTGATGACCGCTGTTTGACAAATCTCGACACAGATCCAGAAGGCTTGACTGGCTTTTGCCAACCTGCGTCACTTATGGCGTAGACGAGATATCCGCCTTCTGACCCAAAGACGAGTCTACTAGGCACTAGTTGTCTCCGTCCGACTTGAGGGGTGTGAAACATGGCCACAAAGAAATGAGGATGTTTGTAGGTTACTAGTATTCGATTATAGGTGTCTTCGAAGCACTGTTCGTATATCCTGTGACTATCGAGTAAGCTATGCTATGTTATGAATAGTGTCCTAGTTAAGGATGTCTAATCAACTGATCAAGTGTTGGATCTTTATCAGTTGAGGTGGTTGGGACACGTGTTACGTATGCTCAACCACTGACTCCCTCAATGAGCGATGTTATGTGATGAAGGGGTAGGAGGGAAGGACGCTAGTGACGACCACATGAAACTCGGCACAAATGATTGAAGACCCTGGCAACTGGACTGAGGCATGTTAGTAGGTACAGACTACCAAGTTGGGGTCCGCGACACGATCGTGTTGGAGACCCTGAATGACATTGCTCGAAATCGCTTGCAATGGGATAAATGCATCCATTCTTAGTCTGTTCTCAATTTCTAAACTTCTGAGTTCGCCATGATCACACTTCTCTTTATTAGATTTATTTCACTGGGATATACTTCTTGAATAATATGTTGGAACCCTAATCTTCTCCATAACCGCTAATACTGCTGCTACTTCTAATGCTGTGGGATTTGAACTGAAAATTCCACCTGTCTGAGCTAATGTGGTATGGCAACTTGAACTGATGTACGTACGTACCGAGTTCTGCGTGGTCATTGACTGACTGCCTTATGTGCAGTTTTGAAACCTTAGCAGTTGTTTTTTTATTTTATCCAGCAGAAATGACGCTTTTGGTCAATAAGTCTTCTTTCGCTAATAATAATAGAGATGAAAAGTAGTGGTATCGATATGAAATTAGTTGAATTTTATGCGATAAGTATGTGAAAGGGCAACCTGAATGAGAAATGAGCGATTTGTATCAATTATTAGAAAAATGTTGTTTTAGGATCAGTGTCACTACCACAATAACTTTAGTGTACTATTAAATCTTAATAATAATAATAATAATTTAACACACTTTGCGACTGGAAGGGAGTTGTCCCTTTTGCTTTATTGTTTTACGAGTACATCTTCGTGCCCATAACAAAGCTCATGTATGATCTAGCTGTCCGTTTTGCTCCTAATTTTATCAAAGTAACTTAATAAAGTCATTTATAATATTCTTGTATGAGAAAGTCAATTATATACACCGTAATCATACTAAGATCAAGTCTAAAAAAGGAAGTTAACAGCTTTCCGTTACAGAAGTCATTGAACGCTTGATGAACTAACCAAATTATGTGAGTACTTTACAAAAGACTGCATAAAAAACATGACCGTGCATTCCAAAATACTTAAAAGAAAACGAAATTCAAAAGTCGAATTTAAAATGATTACCTTGTATAAAATACCACCACGCGGTACTGACTGTAGAAGTAGTAAAGGTGTACAGTTCTTTACTGCTTCATGGATCACAGTAATGGGATTAATGACCTTAGCATTACAATCCGAAATATTTGCGTTAATTTTATTTTTCCGCATCTATGAGAAATACATAAAGTGACAGATAAGTACCTGTATTAGTTTTATTTCTCGAAACGTCATGCGCATTGCATCTCTAGCTACCTCTCTTTCTCCTCTAATAGTCATCATTCCGACAATTCTCGAAACAAGTTCATCAAAATTAGATCCAGTATGTTCCCATTTTTGTGCTGGAGCGACATCTTTTACAAGACGAGGATCTTTTGGATCTATTGATTCATTGTATCTGACCATCCTGGGTTGGAGAGCGTAATGGTAGATACGCGTTCTGAAAGGTTGTTCGAATTTTGAAACTTGAGCTAATTTTATTGACAGTAAGACAGAAAAATCCCACATAGTTTTCCCAGCAGTAGAAAATTCTGAAAACATTTATATAAGGTTAGTCTACAGAAAAATGGGGAAAGCCACAAACGATCAGTCTGGATTTAAAAAGAGTAAAGAATAAATACGCTATTTCACTGCAAATACTCTATTTGAAGTTACAAGTTGAGTCAGTCAGTCAGTTACAACGTAGAACTTCGTACATGAGTACATAAGTTCAGGTTGACATACAGCATCAGCACAGAGAAGCAACTGTCAGTTCAAATCCCATAATGGTAGAGATACTATAAGTATTAGCAGCGATCGAGATTAGGGTTCGAATATATGATTCGAGAAGTATAATTCAGTGAAATAACTTGAGAAACAGATGATGAGAAATTCAGAAGATGAGAATTTGAGAGAACAGAAAGAATAAATGCACCGGCACCATTGCAAACGGTTTTCAGACATGTCATTAAAGATCTCTAACCATCGATTATTATCATCTCGCGGACCCCAACCAGGTAGTCGACAACTACCAACATGACTCAGTCCACTTGTCAGTGACTTCATGGATTTGTGCCGAGTTCCGGTCTGGCCGCCCTTAACTTTCTTCCAGTCTACTCATACAACACAAAGCATTGCTCGTCGAGGCAGTCGGTGGTTGAGCATACGTAACACATGTCACAACTACCTCAACTGATGAAGTTTCAGCACTTCATCTATTGATCTGCCATCCCTACCTAGTACTCAATTCCTAACTATAGCATTGCTTACTCGGTTGTCCCAAGATATGCGAGCAATGCTTCGAAAACATCTATAGCCGAAAACCAGTAACCTACGAATATCTTCTACTCCTACCGGCCATGTTTGACAGCCATACGCAGCATACATCGATTGAGCAAGATTCTAATGTCCTATCTGATAGCGACAATCGCCGTTGCCTCTTCATCGTATCTGCCTATGCCCCCACTAACTGCAGTGCAGACGAGGTTAAAGATGAGTTTTACACAAAGCTTTCGGACCTCCTCCAAAAAGCCAGGCGCTCTGATGTAGTAATAATTGCTGGTGACTTTAATGCTCAAGTAGGTAGACTAAGTGAAAATGTAAGAAACCTAGTTGGATGTTATTGTGTCGCGGCTCAGAGAACAGACAATTGCGACCGTCTACTACAACTATGCTCAGATTACCGCTTACTTCTAGCAAGCACTAACTTGAAGCATAAGGAAGAACACCTTTTGACCTGGCGACCACCAAAGTCGTCCCAACGATAGACCCAACCAGATCACATCGCCGTCAGCCACCGATGGAGGGGTTCGATAGAGGACTGTCGCTCGTTCTGGGTCATATGTTTAGATTCAGATCATGCCCTAGTGCGAGCGCGCATCTGTTTGCGACTTACTGGACGTAGGAAAGACACCATAAGGAAGCCTCTTAGGGTTTTGCTTAATGATAATAAAGCTAAGAATATATTTCAGGAGTAACTAGAAAGAGAGTTAGGCAACCATGTAAGCAATTCCCATCCAGAGGCAGCTTGGAATGATATCAAAAAGGCTGTGGAAACAGCAGTGATATCTGCTAGTAAGGTTGACCATAAGGCCAGAATGAAGCTGTGGATCTCAGTAGCATCCACCGATCTGATGGATGCTCCAAAACTCATCCCACCTGGCTGCGGGTCCTGATAGACTGACTCCTGAGATATTTAATAATGGTGGTCCAGCTTTAGCAGCTAGGTTGACCGAGATCTTAGGTAGAATCTGGAAACTGGACACAATCCCATCCGACTGGTCTCAATCCCTAATTGTCCCAATCTATAAGAAAGGACAAAAGTCTTCCTGTGACAATCACAGGGGAATAAGTCTAACTAATATAGTATCTAAAATATTGGCCTCAATAATACTTCGACGCCTAACGAAAGCTCGTGAAGAGCTAACTCGAGAAAACCAGGCTGGTTTCAGACCTGAACGTGGCTGTATAGACCACGTCTTCACACTAAGACAGGTCCCGGAACACAGACACACATTTAGGCGTCCTACAATAGTTGTTTTCCTTGACCTAAAAGCCGCATTCGACTCAGTGGATCGTGAGGTTCTGTGGCAGTGTCTGTCATTGAAAGGTGTACCAGAGAAGTACACTAACCTTATACAAGCTCTCTACTCGAACACCACTGGTCGAGTGAGAGCTTATGGCGAACTGTCACTGGAATTCTTCACTTCAAGCGGTATCCGTCAGAGATGTCCACTTTCTCCACTCTTGTTTAATTTTATCATTGACATGCTGCTAGGAATAACCTTATCCTCGTCTGAATTTTCAGTAGACCTTCTACCAGGTGGCTCGCTTATTGACTTAGAATATGCCGATGACATTGTCCTACTTGGTGAAGACGCTGACAAAATGCAGAGTCTTCTGACCACCCTAAGCAACAATGTAAGCATGTTCGGTATGCGGTTTTCCCCCTCGAAATGCAAAATGTTGCTTCAAGATTGGGTTGCATCGGCACCTGAACTAGTGATAGGAAGTGAAGTAGTCGAACGTGTGGACCGCTTCACTTATCTTGGGAGTCTCATCAGTGGCCTGGTGACTGACGAAATCTCAGCACGGATGCAAAAGGCTCGACTGGCTTTTGCCAATCCGCGTCACTTATGGCGTAGGCGAGATATCCGTTTGCTGACTAAAGGACGAGTGTACTGTCCAGTAGTTCACTCCGTCTTACTTTATGACTGTGAAACATGGCCAGTGAGAGTAGAAGATATTCGTAGGTTACTTGTTTTCGATCATAGGTGTCTTTGAATTATTGCTTGTATACCGTGGACAACCGAGTAAGCAATGCTGTCGTTAGGAAACGAGTACTAGGCAAGGATGGCAGGTCAATAGGTGAAGTAATGAAACTTCATCAGTTGAGGTGGTTGGGACATGTCTTGTGTATGCCTAACCACCGACTGCCTCGACGAGCTTTGTTTTGTAGTGTAGGAATAGGTTGGAAGAAAGTTAGGGGCGGCCAGACCAACACTTGGCAGAAATCTATGAAGTCATTGACTGGTGGACTTAGCCATGTCGGTAATTGTCGACTACCTGGTTGGGGTCCGCGAGATGATAATAATCGATGGTTAGAGACCTTGAATGACATGGCTCAAAATCGTTCGCAATGGTGCCGGTGCATTTATTCTTTGTGTTCTCTCAAATCCTAATCTTCTGGATTCTTCAACAACTCTAGTTTTGACTTTCTAAACTTTTCTCACTAACCATACTTCTTGAATAATATCTTCTAACCCTAACCTCTCCGATTACTTCTAGTACCTTTACTACCTGTTCTACTATTGGATTTGAATTGACAATTACAGCTCTGTGCTGATGTGGTATGGCGACATGAACTGATGTACTTACGTACGAAGTTCTACGTTGCAACTGACTGACTGACTAATGTCCTATCTAAAGAAGCCTGTTGCCCTATTTGACATAATGTACGTACATTAAATGCTCCAACACGTAATTTAGATCGTTTCAGGAGGCGAGGAATAACTTCCCGTGAACTCGCATCGTTTGCATTAGCTGTGCAGTGAAATAGAGGAATATGAGTAGAGTTAGTCGTGGAGATAAGAGAGGTATTAGGGGGTGTAGGAAGGATCTGATTTCGACCAATTCGGTTTCTCGTGCTGTTACGGTTATCATTTCCCGGCTGCCCATCGAAGGGTGTTTCTTGACGAACCTGAAAAAGAAGAGAGATTAGTGTTGGTCTTAGAGACCTGTGAGCGTGACCACAGAGCCCAAGGGACAACGGCTTCAGGCCGGTCAGACACGGCCTTTTTATGAAAGGTCTTTTGAGTGTTAGCTCTGATCTTGAAAGCCCTTACTGGGCAACCTTAACGACCGAGATGGAAAACCGTGAGGTAAGGCGAGGTGTGACAATTTTAGGGTCGACCTTTTCTAACCCTTTCTTCCTTGTGAGATGGCAGCATCGTTGTAGATGCTGTTTGTGTGAGCGAAACACCTCACTGCTGTCACACCCCTCCGCAGTCAGCAGTACGACTTCGCCCTCAAACCTTGGGTAGCTGCTTTTTGTATCATTGTTCTCCAATCGACCTGGCTGGCATGGCTGAACCTTCAGGAACATATGTTCCAGCCAGTATAGCTCGGTTGGGTCATCAGGATAAGCAAGCCGGACCACCACGTCCAGGTAGCAGCTACGGTCGGGACTACAGGATCCAAAGTGCAGTTTCGTTTTTATGGTAATTCTAGCTGTCATACTACACCTTGATTGAAAAAAATATCCAATGGTTTCAAAATCAAGCAATGAAACTGTTGAATACTTAATTTGAATAAAGTTTGTTATTGGCAAATGACAAGTATTTGGTTGAAAAGGAGAAGATCAAATCAAGTGGCAAGAATTAGAGGGTCGATACTTATCAGTGTTAAAACGTGTCCAAGATTATAGTTTACAATTCGTGAAAATTACGGTTTACATGGTAGGCGATATTGTTCAAGACAATCGTGGATTATTCAAGTAACTACCACTGTGAGCATAGTTAAAAGGAGAACTGTAGGACCCCAAGAACACTTTCGCAGCCTTATGCGTATAGTGAGAAACTTATGAAAGGTATCATCAAAGAGCTACTCCTAAAAGAGGATGTTTGAGCAATAATTACAACCACCAATCGAATCATCAAGTTGTTTTTCACTTTGAAAGTATTTCAGAATTTAAATAGTGATCTAAGTAATGATTTAATCACACTATTTTATACAAATTTCGCTTAACTTTTGGACCAAAGACGCTTTTCAAGCTTTTCGAAATAAACACGACTATTTTAATAAATAATATACACGCTGAAACTGAGTTACAAGCAATATCAACAAATTGTGAAGACTTCATTCTTCCGATGGACTTTAAGAAAACAGCTGCACTCTAATACACGATGTTTTGTTAAGGATGATGTGGATGATCAAAACAATAACAAAATAAAATACTGAAACGAAAATGTCAACTTAATTGATGTAATCTACAACGAGAAGTATTTGTTAAATCTCCAGAGCAAAACTGACTGACTGACTGACTGACAGGAACGATAAGGTGAAATAACTAACTGACACACTAACCTTACAAGTGCATTGAAATATCGTATTCTACAGGAAATTCTAGGTGTGGAAAAGTTAGATATAAACGTAGTTCTATATATGATTTAAAGCAATCATATTGAAGTAGAAAAGTGGTAGTAATATAGTATAGTATAGCTAGTTTAAAGACAGAGATACTTTGGTATCACCAATTGTACCAGTTTTAAATGCTTATTCATTTGCTCTAATAATTGAATTTATCATAGATATACCTTCAGCAATTACTCCATTCAGGATTCATTAACAGACAGTTGAGAAGAGGGTGTTCAGGGCTTCAGCTACATTGAATGAGTTTCAACAATACTAGACAAGAGATCACTTGATTCCAACCTAATTGGGATCTTGAAAAACCAATGTGGACACTGAATTCAGGATTGCGGAACAAACATTTCAATTCAGTGAAACGAAGGAGGAAGACAGGCAATATACCAGGAGAGTACAGAGGTGGAAGTACGATATCACAAGCAAAAGACTGAGACGAAGTTGAGGTCTCATTGAACTATTTTAGGAACTTGAATACAGTATAGACACCCTCGGAAATTTCTATCTTCGAACCAGGTATAATCAAGAGAACAATCTATTGGTCAGTTTAATTAGACTAATTGTCAGGATTTTATAAAACGTCATTCGCCATCAGTCGGCTGAATATCTAGACAAAAATGTGATTTCCACGAAAAAATCAATAACTTTAGAACAAGTTGCTCCCGCATAACAGATTTATTGGTAGCATGAGAGGCTTGGTGTAGTCTAAAAGATTTAAAGCAACAGAGTCTGGGTTAACTACAAGTTATCTAGATAGAAGAATGCCTAGTGTAGTCCCCCAAGAGTTCCGGGACCGGTGCAATCCCTTTTATACGTAAATGATCATCTCAGTCTTTTATTATAGACGATTTCGCTACATGACGGTGAAATTCAGATATAGAAATAAATACAACGCGAAAGGGATACCTCAGAGATACAGAGAAATGAGAAGAATCGATTTGAGTGGCTTGAATTCGGAAGCTGCAGAAAAACGCTTCCAAGTGAATTATTATTAATATTAAAACGAATCAACACAACGTCCACAAACGTTGGAAACGAGAGAGAAAAAACAATAGCAAGCACATAGAGGTGACATTTCAGCAAGGAAAGTTACCGAAAACGGTGGATGAATTGTAAGTTAATTAAGGAAAACCACTACAGCGAAAATTTTGAAAATAGCGCCTTCATACCTACTTTTCAATACTATAATGTTAATTCTCAGAAGCTACTAGGAAAAAGTATGAACAACAAAGTTGGTGATGTCCAGCATAAAGCAGCTGGAATGACACAAAAAAACTAAAGAAATAGAAGTGATAATCAACGATACAAATAATATTGTTTGTCAAATAATCATATGTAACCACAGGTATACCAGTTAACAGGTGACATCAAAATGTTACAAATTCTAACATATTTATCATACGACATGGATATTTTAAAAGATCCAGTGGTCACTATTATAGAGGGCAGATTTTTTTCCACATCGTCGATAATGATGTGTCCACCATTTACAAGAAACAATTCAGTTTTGACATCAGATATCCGATCATATAAACTTCGTCACCGTGCACTGACAGACAGTCTGAATAACATTTCGAAGGAAAAAAATTATTCCAAGTCGGAAGTACTAAGCTTTATGCCAAGTTGTCTCGATTAGCTGCTCCCTTCTTAGTTATATAATATTAATTTATTCCCAAATAACAAACATATTACAAGAGGCATGCCAATTTACAGGCAAGATCGAAATTCTAAGATTGCTAACATATATTTTTAAAACGGTGTACAGTTACTGAAATTTTTCTCAAGATACATCAGCTCCATTTAAATGGCTAAAATTTTTCACATAAAACAAAAGATAATTTGCAGACTCTGCAATGTACAGTGCGAATAATTGGCGCTAGTTACAATAGTGGCGTTACGATGAACTGCTAATAACTGCGATGCAATGCAAGATAGAGCCAGGTCTGCATATAACATGAAATGATGGGGTAAATATGCTAAGATCTGGCTGATATTCTTCACATAATAAATTTACAGGCTCCCGAGTAAACTAACCAAGTCTTCGGCAAATATCAAGACTAATATTTAGGGACCGGAATAAGGTGCTAAAAAAGAGATAGTGGCAAGGAGCAGGACCGAAAATATTCTTGTTTAAAGCCGAACAATGACTGAGCTGATACTTCTTGGATGAAGCTTAATCAGATGTTTTTATATTACAACACAAACTGTACACCTGCATTTATGTAGATTAATGAAGACAATTCATTAGTAACGTTCTGCCATATAGACATGGTTAGATTGAGGTTATCACTCCACCATCATGAATGCTGGTCATGCGAAGTTGCTTACTAGGACGGTCATAGATGACAGTGCAACTTTGGGTGTCTTTCGGATTCTATTCTCGAGTATTCTATATTCAGTCGATTTTATAATTATTATTTTTCTCCTTGAAATTAATATCTCAATTGTTCTCTTCTTTAAACTTTTTGCTTTTCCGTTCCCAAATACTGTAAGTAACATGTTTAGTGACAATGTTCCAATAAGTTCTTCCACTAAGACAAATACAAAAACGAAGAAAGGTAAGTTGAATTTCAAAGTAATATGCGTGGCTCGAATTACTCAAACCAATACACCTCCACCTGATCTTCAATGAAGAAACGAGGACGTCACTCTCACTCAGATTGCAACTCCTACTAAGATCAATAAGCAGGATACGAAAGGGAGAAGAAGGCATCCGGAGATTCAGTCGACGCAGCATATTATTCAGTAAGCACATAAGGAGAAATGGATTCCCTGCTCGCTGCCAGTTCAGACCAGCGAATCTAAATTCGAATGTCACTTCCGCAGTTCATCGGTTCGCTGTTGATGTGACACTATAGTGCCAAACAGTACTTTGGTTTTATGATTAGTCATTCATGATTAGTGTATTTATCAAGAGTAGAAACATTGAAATAAAAAATTAGCGTCGGACGATCCATGGGCTAGCTCCGTCAGGAGCACCTCTGGAGCTTCTGCCGGTCCAAAGTACAGATAAAGGAGGAGGGTCAGCAGAGGCAGTCAAAGCAGACGTGGCAGCGACTGCAAAAATATATAACACTCTCTTCAATAACATTGGGGTGACGAACAAGTACCAACAGAATGGAAAGAAGGATACTTCTTGAGTATACCAAAGAAAGGCGATCTCAACAAGTGTGCGAACTACAGAGTCATCATTCTTCTCTCACTATCAGGCAAAGTTGTTAAACAGAATGAAGGACTCTGTAGACGCCCAGCCTCGAGATCAAGGAGCTGGAATCCATAAGAAATGATCGTGTGCCGACCAAATTGTTGAAATAATCAAAACTCAGTACTCTACATCAACGTCATTGACTGCGAGAAGGCATTTGATAGCATGAACGGGAAAATACTATGGGGGCTTCTTCGAAGCCACGGCTTGCGTGAATAGACAGTCAACATCATACGGAATTCTTATGATAGATTGAACTTCAAAATCATGCACGAAGGACAGCTGACAGAATCGTTCGAGGTGAAGACCAGTGTCAGACAAGGCCGTTGACTCTCTCCTCTGTGTTTTTCTCCTGGTGATCGACTGGATTATGAAGACATCAACATCTGGAGGGAAGCATGGTGTACGGTTGACATCCAGGATGCAGCTGAACGGTCTGGACTTCGCAAAGGATCTGGCTCTATGCCAAACGGAGAAAGATAAGCTGATAAATGTAGCAGCCTCATTTGCAGCTGCAGCAGTAGATCCCAACATTTACAAGGGGAAAAGCAAGATTCTTCGATACAACACAACATGCGCCAACCAAATTACACTTGATGAAAATGCCTTGAAGGGCTTTTACATATCTTGGCAGAATCATTGACAATCAAGGTGCATCTGATAAAGATGTGAATGTATGGATCGGCAGGGAAAGGGCTTGATTTTCACTAATGAAAAACATTCGGAACTCCAAACATCTATCAGCCAACGTCAAAATCAGAACTGTACCCCAGCAAAACCGTTCCGTCTGTTCAAGTGTGAGAATGTTGCCAAATAGAGACCCTGTTCCTTGAAAGTAAGCTCAGACTTGACACAAGTTGCCGAAGAAATACTACTAAGTCTCCAAATCTGGTGGCTGTTAACTTCAGAAATCAAGAAGACCTAATTGAAGCTCCTCAAGCTTGATACAGCATGAAGAATATTCTCCCTGGTCATATTAGTTGCCGTGGCAGCCAGCCTGGATCTATGAGACAACAACAGGGAGGCTAGAACAAGCACACATCAATGTCTTCCGACCTCGATCAGTAACACACGGCAAAAGACATGAAGATTATTGCCTCATTGATCGAATAAACTAACAAGCACAAATCCTGCAGCAGCTAGTTCCCACACAACTGGCTAACTGGATTCGATCAACTGTTTTAAAAATCCGACACGAAATGTTGTTGCAGAGCTGCACTAGGTGATGAAGCAAACCAACAAGTGACTCTGTAGCAACGTAAGAGGACCGAAGTCTAAGCTGTTGGAGGTCAGGAATATTTGACCTTAGATGGATTTGAGGATCATAATCGTAGCTGAAACATGGCTCTCTCCCGACATTCGCATCTAATTTTATCATAGCACTGGAGGACTGGAAAACCTGCAAGGACTGAAAAATAGCCAGAATTCAGAGTGATCTTGATAACTTAACTACCTGGAGCGAAACATGGCAGCTGCCGGCTAACAATAACACATGTGGCATGATGCATGTATGTAAACATCATGATATACCACTCTACTTACAAAAATGTAGGGTTCATACACTGAAGCCAGCGCATGATCTGGGTATTCTTTACCCCAGAAGCCTTCGGAGATCTAGCCGCCACATCAGAAAAAGCTGCAAGAGAAGGAAACCTTAGACAACAATACAATATAACGAAGAAGCCTGTTGCGAAATTTCATAAAGCAGAATGACCAGTGAGGAGCAAGATAGACAAAGTAATCACCGACATTGAAGAACACCTAAACCGGTGAGTAGGACACTTTATGGAACTCTTGAATCAACAAGCCCCACTAAACCCACCTCATATCGAATCAGCTCCAGCAAAAATTCGGGTTCTGCCGGATCCCCTCGTGTAATATACTTGAGGAGAGTAGTCATTAACTGATTAATTTTAACTGGGACACCTTCAAGCAGTTCAACGTCCGAACAACCTGAATTAGAAATTCAGGTGTGCTTAGATTTCTCGATGGCAGTTGGGATATTTATTTTACTTCAAGATTAATGTCCACAGTCTCATTGATATCTGCAAAGTGATTTATCAAGTGTGTAATTATTTCCTGTTCTTAATCGACCAGTCTATTATGTAAAAGTCAGAATGGATTCCGATTTCGGAAAAACAGTTCCAGAAGTTCAGGTACGTGCCTTGCCCAGTTAGTCCAAATAGAAAGCAATTTGTCTGGGTAGGAAACGGTTCTGTTACTAATAAAAAAATACAGATAATTACCATCAATATTACACTGTTTTCTGTCAAAGATAACACAATGTGTTCCCAAATCTGGGAGAATGCTTCCGTGTAGGTCCAAAATTGAAGCCTTCCAGTCCAGATGCACGCTTCACCCGCCGGAGTATCAAATCCGATATAGCTGAAGCCATAATTAAGTATCAACTTAAACTATATAATAAAGTTCAGTAGAAAACATAGAAACTCCAATAAAGGTACAAAATAGAGAAACTGTAAAAAATATAAATAATAACATCCGAAAATGGTATTAAACTTACCACCAAA